GTTAAATTCAAACTCTTCACAGCGAACCTTCGTACGGGCAACACGAGTCCAACTTTTCTCTATGATATAGCGTAATACAACGTAACTTCTTCCTCTCATTACATGAACCATGAAACAATTGCAACCTAAAATACACACACAATATACACAAAAAATGTAAATAAATTGTATGAAATTAACATAAAATTTACCATGTTTTCTGTTATTTCTGTACGTTTTAGTTCCTGTTAAGTGTGCTTTTATCTCCGTGAAAGCGAGGCTTATTTCTGCTTCTATGGTGTGAGTGATGCCGCCCCACAAGTGCACCGTAGACATAAATTGAGGCATGTGGTCAGCCACAATATCTAATAAGCTGCGGTATTTCAAAAGATTTATTGATACCAAGATACCATATTATGGCAAGAAATATTCCCCAAGTCATTATATCCCCCGGAGGCATTGGCACAAGGCAGAATACATTCATACTTACATTTTATTGCATCAAATTTTGGCCCTATCATCTTAATGTGGCAGCAAAAATTCTCAGGTTTCACACTTCGGTCCTACCCTTTATATGTTTAATGACCTGTCTAAGAAGATGCTCCGATTCTTAGTGAGTATCTATACGCAGTTTATAGGTGTATCTAAAAAAAAAAAGGATAACCAGAATCTGACAGTTTATTTCTCCTCTGACCTAGACCTGGTAGCTCAATGGGGCATGAGTGTCTGATAAAATTCAATACGTCTCAAATCAAACAAGTAACTTTCAGTAGACCCTGAACGTTCACCTATCATGATGTGTGTTCTCTCAAGCTCACCCAAGACCTCAAGTGTAACTCATATATACATTTTATTGCAAAAGTTGCTGGAAAAATGCTCGATTCATTGTACTGTTCCAGTAAGTATCTGACTCCCCCCCACTGCAATATTCTATTTTTACAAGTGCCAGATCAGACCAAAAATGAATATTGCTATCAAATCTGTGCTGGGGCTACCCATTCTTCACTTACTCGTCTTCAAAAGCTTCTCCACGGCCTTGTGAATGGTTAATTATTTTCCTTCCTACAATCCCCCTTTTCACAAATACAAAATATCGTTAGGCTCTCACTTCTTTATCGCTATTGCCATGTGTTCTGACTAGCAACATTCCTTGGTCCCATCAGCACTGACATTTGCATTCCATTACTCAGACATAGTTTTCTAAATAACTGCTATTTTTTGGAACAGACTCTCGGCATCTTGTTTTTCCAGTCATTACAAACTTGACCTCTTCAAGGTTAGGCTTAACCGTTATTTTATCGATATAAACACTTGAACTGCACTTCTTGCCTTCTCTTACACTCATACAACACCACACAGTAACGTTCTAACTTGAGTGGCTCTTGGGCCTTGTATTAGGTGAACGTTAGAAAAAAATAAATCGAAATTCATCAGACCAGACAATCTTTTCCAATCTTATATTGTTAAACTTTTGTGATCCTTAGCGATTTGTAGCATCAGTTCCTTGTTCTTATCAGACAGGATTGGAACTCGGTGTAATATTCTGCTACTGTAGCACATCTGCTTCAAGGTTCGACGTATTGGGTGTTCAGAGATGCTCTTCTGTATACCTTCGTTGTAAATTGTAGTTATTTAAGCGAGTGTTGCTATCCATTAATTTGATTCAACTGGCTGAGCAGAAAAGACCATTCGGTTATGTCTGCTTAATGAACCACTGTGTATATCCAATATGAACACATACAACGTATATCGGGCACCTCGATGTGCTGTAATGGTTAACAAGCCTGTCTCGCAATAACATTTGGTGCCCCATACTTTCGGCCTGGTGCCACATCTAAGCTACGCTTACGAAATCACCATACAGCATATGTGTATATGTATATTGTTTAAAATTTGCTAAATTTATGAGGGAAAACTGCTCTATATCGAGAATAAACATTGGTCTGATGATCGATTACTGCATGTAAAATTGATTTCCGTAGTATATATATATATATATATATATATATATATATATATATATATACACAAACTCAAATGTCATTTAGTGAACTCAGCAGTTTTCAATCTGCTTGAGTGAATCATCTTAAAGAAGCTAGAGCAGGATCTAAAAGGTCAGCCAATCTAACAGTGATCTCATCTCACAATCCTCACTCTTGCTCCATATGTGGCCTCCTTTGTAAATCAATAGCGGGTCTTAAGTACCACTTAAGATTATCGCACAAAATTTCATAACTGAATCAATTAAGCTGTCAGATCCTCATACGACGAAACCGACGTAAGAGTCCATTATTATATCCACTCATAACTTTGATATATACGTCAAATAAGAGAATATCTATATCTCATAGAATACTGTAGTATTTTATTCTATATAAGTAATAATAGTGATGATGAAATTAGACGTTTTCATATAGAAGATATCCAGCATTGACTAATTGATTCGTTAAAGTTACTTTTGGATAAAATTAATAAAAATCATTTTATTAAAACAGTTTTTCGAGAAATTATACTTTTCAGATCTAAGGTTATAGTGCTTTCTAGCATAGATGAGTCTCCTTCCAAAACCTTTTGTTGCTGGTAGCGTGGAAAATTAAAGCTTTGATTATATCATTTTATTGCATTTTGTTGCTGCTTGGACGTAGTGCTGTGACTTATCCAGTAAGTTA